TTCAAACATTTCACCTCCTTTTCTTCTGTCATTCCTACTTCAGATGTGTTACTTGCCTATATATCTCTCTCTCTAAAACTTACTTCTGGTCTATTAACCACTTGAATACTAATTTCACCATATTTAGTGTTGAATTTTTTTTCTGGTCTATATATATATATATGTTCCACTTTGCTGATATGGGTATGTATGGTGGTGGCGGACTATCATATCTCACCTGAATCAATGGAACCCATGTTCGCCGAAAACCATGGAACTCGCCAATCAATACATGCCAATTGTTTCTCTGGTGACTACCAAAGACTTAATATATGAATTGGGTATCTTTCATAGTTTGAATGGAATGATTTAATGGTGGTTGTCTAAGCAATTTATTGGTTGTATTCTACTTGTTTGGTAAATATAAGTGTATCCTTCAACCAATGGTAAAATGAGAATTTTAATTTATTCAATACATGGCATAAGCAAAATTTGCTGTTGACGGTCAGAAGAGATGTTTGTGTAGGTTAGTTTCATTTTTATGGAAAGTTTAAGTAATTTTTCAAACTATAGGGGAGATTCCCTATAATTGTGACAAATCATAAAGAAGGTATGTGTAATTTACCCTTTTTTGTTATTATTAAATTAGATAATTTATTTTTCAATTTTTTAGTATTCGCCAATCACTGATAAGTGATATGTCTGTCACTTAAAATATTACCTCATTTAAAATAAAACTTATCATTTTTAATAATATTCAAATTGTGTTATTAAATGCACTTAATTAGATAAATACTTAATTCATTTAAAATTAATCACTTAATTGAGTTATCAAACATCACCTTATTTATGGGTAAGTTACTCACTTAAAATCCTACCCAATTTTAAGTGACACTAAATCCTTTTAAGTGATATTAATATTATGTTATTAAAGGTATTCCCGCTGCCTTTTCGAAGATTCAACCACCTCATTTTGGTCTTGCTAACTTAAAATTCTACCCAATTTTAAGTGGCACTAAATCATTTTAAGTGTTGTTAAAAAAAAAAAATTAAGTGATAAACCACCACCGCCGTTGTAAATCCTATCCAATTTTAAGGGACTATTAATCCGTTTAATTACTAATACTATGTTATTAAACGTATTCACATTGCACTTGTGACGAATCTATTGTGAAAAAAATAAAATAAAAGTTAAAGTATGTTTTAAGAAATGCATTCAGGAAAGGCATTTTATTTTTTTTCCTTATGAATTTCTTCTAACAAAATTCTTTTCATGAAGACTTTTATCACTTTTGATTAGAGGTGCAACTCGAGGTTAGCAACGCGAATCCAGCCCAAGCCCAGCCTATTTTTTGGTGGATTTGGATAATCATTTTTACAATTGAACCTAAGTTGAAAAATCTCAACCCAAAACTTGATTAGGCTGGGCTTGGGTTGAGGTGCGAGCAACCCAAGCCGAACCCGAATCCAAAATTTTAACATTATTTTCATATATATTTTTATTTATAATATTTTTATTTTAAATGCATTATATATAACATTTAAATTATGATCGCCTTTTTTAAATATATATATATATATATATATATATATATATATATATATATTTTTAATAATTTATTTGTAATTTATTAAAAACCTGCAATAAGTTTTAATAAAATAATTGTGTTTAAGAGTAACTTCATCTCAAACTAACTCAAGAACAAATTAAGTTTTCAGTGTGGAGATTGTTCATATGGATAACCCAAATTTTTAACTTGAAATATCAGTCCGAGTTATAAACCCGAGTTTAAAAATATAAAACTGGGTTGGGCTTAGATTGAATAGTTAGGGTTGAAGGTCAGGTTAGAGTCGGGTTAGGGTCGAACATTTCATATATCGGGTTTGACTCAAGTTGTATCTCTAACTTGCCCGAGTTGCAACAATACTCTCTACTCTTGATATTAGTAAAGGGAATTACATTATCAACTTTTGATATTAAAAGATAAGAAAATATCATTAAACAATTGAATTGGTATGCCATCTACTTGGAACTGCATAGATGTAATAATATATTCATATTTGGGTAAATTACACTTATCATCCTTTGTGGTTAGGGTATATTACACTTACTGCCTTTGTAGTTAGGGTATATTATGGTTATTTTACTTTTTAACAAAAAAAAAAAACATATAACTTCAATGAATTTACATTTAAAATTCATGAAAAACTTTTCAATTAATAAAATTCATTAGTTGCAACTTTTAGCAATATGCCTACTAAACTTTTGAACTTTTGAAAGAAATAGAAACTTGTATAAAATCTTGAAATTCTGCAATCAATATATCGAAAGACTATACTCAAAATCCCATAATTTAAAAGATATTTAGTTGATAAACTATAATCAAAGGTTTTCGAGTCAATAACATTTACATCTTTAATTCTATTACATACCATTATAAATTCAATACAAGTGATCCAAATAAAACTATTGTCACATCGACTAGGCACCTAGAAAACACCAAGTATCAAATATTGCTAATACTTCCTTAACCATCTATCTGGAACAAACTTGGGAATAAAATATATAGGGATGAACTTATACAGCTCAGTAGATAATCTAACAGTGGCATAAATGGGGTTTGAAATTCATATGGGTATTTAAGTTCAGCAAATTATTTTTTTGTCAAATAAACATAACTTCACAAAACAATTTTAAACTCATATACTGAAAGTACCAAAACCATTGCATTTCTCATTTCAAAAACCGAATAAGGAACAACCCCAAACCACAACTCCTTCCCTTGTGAACCTCTCTCCATTTTCACTCAATAAATCATTTCTACGAACAGTTTGTGCACAACTGAGAGTGTTCCATACTATCAAGTCCCCTTCTAATCAGTATGGTACCAGCCATCCCTATCCATACAAAGGTCTTCCACAAGGGTTTTGGGACTTTCATTGTAGGGTAACTCGTACCCTACTTCAATCATTTCACCCATTTCGAATTCCAATGCAGCCACATAGCTGTTCTTAGCATTTAACATTTAACCCAAAATACATAGCCTATAGAAATATGTTTACCCCATTTCCCACAATATCAACCATGACTAGCAATCTGTATTAACAAGTTTATGCACTCTGAAACGGTTATGCATTATCAAAACAGGTAAAGAACTTCAGTTTATATCTTGCCAGTTGCCACCAAAAAAATCTTTTGAAATTAACCATAAAACTGGCTATTACAGTAGTTCAAAACAATTGGCTAACAATCAAACAGAAGATTTAGAGAAAAATCACCCAAACATGCAAAAGTTAGAGAATCCCTACCAAATTGAAGCTGAAAATGGTGAGATAATGACGATGATGGAGAAATTACAATCCATCCCCTTTTCTCTTCCTGTCTTTCTCTTCTTCTCTTTCTCTCCTTTTCCTCTAATTCTCAGCCAACTCTTCCTTTGTTTTTTCATTTCTTTTATTTTATCTCTTTCAGGAAGCATATGCAAAAGATGACTCACACCCCTAGTTACAACTCTCACATAGTAATGACACATGCCCCCAGTTGTAAAATTAACATTTAATCCTTCCAAACTTTCTGTTTTTCCACAACCCCAATCACACTATAAGTATAATCATGTAATTGGCCAAATAAAAGTGATTAACTCACTAAGCAAGATTAAAGTTACCCAAGGCAAAGTACAAAAAAACTCCCCTCGACTTACAACATTTTTCAGGAAATCTCCTTATCTATTTTTTTATCAAAGAACCTCCCTCAACTTGTAACTTTTTTTCTAATAAATCCTCCTTGTTTAATTTCTTTACCAAAGAACCCCCCTAAACTATCTCAAGGGTAAAGAGTTGATATTTGGACCAAAATGTCCTTTTATTTAAATCTTAATTTTCTCGAACTTCAAAAATTCATATCTCACAAACCGTACATTTAAAAATTGTAAATAATATATGCACGAAAAGCTTATGAAGTAAGGATTTCAGAAATATAAGATTTGTACAACAAACCTTCATAACCAGAGAGAAATATGCAATACAAAAATCTACTTCAATAATCTTATTTTATTTAAACTCGAGATATTTGTAAGAAAATTTTCAGAATTATTCATTTACATATGGAGCCGAATATATAAAAAAAAAAAAAAAAAAAAATTAGCCTCAACAGAGATCGATTTCATGAGATATCATACTTTGCGTCAAAGTATTTTAATTCTTTTAGAGACTCACCATTTAAAAAAAAAAAAAAATTTGAATATTCGATATCTATTGGGGCTAATTTTTTTTTTTTTATGTTATGCTCCATTTTGAAAATTTTCTTGCATATAACCTGAATATTTTATAAAAAATAAAATAAAATAAGATTATTGAAGTAGATTTTTAGATTGTCTATTTCTCTCTGGTTATAAAGTTTTGTTAAACAAATCTTATATTTATGGAATCCTTATTTTATAAGCTTTCCGTGCATATATTATTTGTAATATTTATATATACGGTTTGTGAAATATGAATTTATGAAGTTTGAAAAAATTAAGATTTAAATAAAATGGTATATTGGTCCAAATATCAACTCTTATATTCCCTTTAGATTGTTTGGAGGGGTTCTTTGGTAAAAAAAAAAAATTAGACAATGGAATTTATTGGAAAGAGTTACAAGCTGAGGGGGGTTATTTAGTAAAAAATTAGACGAGAGTTTACTAAAAAATGTTACAAGTCGAGGGAGTTTTATGCACTTTGCCTGGTTACTAATCATGATTAAAAGTCACTAAGCATGACTAGAAATCAATAAAAATAATTAATTATGATTAAAAGTCATTGAGCATGATTAAGAATTACTAAGCACAATTAAGAGTCAAGATGTGGAACAAAGGCAAAGTTAGAAACTCAGCACGATTAAAAGACCTAATAAAATCACAGGATATCGCGTCAAAATTCAAGTCTTCATAGGATCAAAACTGAGTTTGTTGAGTGTTTCTTGCATTGGAAAAAAACAAAAAAAATAAATAAATAAATTTGTCTTTCTTAAACTTGCCTGCCCTTCTCTGATTAGGCAAGACTTACTCTAGCTCACCAAGCGGTTACCTAATCCATACCAAACATATCAGAGAGTGAATGATACATATTTGCTGTTCCCAGTGTTCCCTCTCTGCGACCCCAAACTTAGAAACCCAATGGCTTCCTTCTCCAATCCCACCGGCCCATTCCCGCCGGTGATTAACCGGAGACCAGGAACTAAACCGGTGACTGTACGGAACAAACCCACATCCGAATTCAAACTAAAACCGCTTGTGGAACGAGCAATGGAGATGACTGTAAAGGAGAGTGGCCCAGGAAGAATTGACATGGCCAGGCTGAAGGAGAGAGAAGCTAGAGAGAGAAAGGAGGAAGTGAACAGAAAGGTAGCGTCGAAGAAAGCGATATCGATCATCTTAAGAAGGGAGGCCACGAAGGCCGTCATTGAGAAGAAGAGAGGCCCCAATAACTCCAAGAAGCTCTTGCCCAGAACTGTCCTCGAAGCTCTTCACGATCGAATCACGGCTTTGCGCTGGGAATCTGCTCTCATGGTAAAAAATAATCCTAATAAAGTTCAATTCTATCTTGTTGATGTGAATTTATTGTTGTCTTCTTGAATTTAATCATTTGAGCACTTTTTTCATCAGTCAAATTGTTGAGTGCTACAAGTTTGAATGTTAGTTTGAAGTATCGAGCTTGTTTCGTGGACATCATCTGAAACTTTTTTTTTTTTTTTTTGGTGTGTGGATAATTTAGCATTTCTGCTAATTTTTATACATGAATCCTTAATGTCATTCAATTGATCCTAAAGAGTTGAATAAATGCTTTGTTGATTTGTGTTTGGAGTGGGTTATTCTGTCATGTTTTGGGAACTTAATTTTAGTATGACAACCATTAGATGCTGTTATGAATATTAAATATGTCTTATATAAATATTATATGTATGGGCATGGTATCCTGTAAAAGTATATAACACCTTCCACAAAGCTCTTGTTTAGTTGTGGTGCTTTTCTTTTTTCCAGATGTTTGTTGGCTATAAGCTTTGTTAATGTTTGACAGCTTACAATGGCCATAATACACTTTAATCTCCTGTAATACGTAGAGCACGAAATATAAAATATACTCAGGCACAAGGTTTCTTTTTGATCCTTTGATTGATAGTGACAATAACTGACCAAGGGCGTGCCTTGGCGCAACGGTAAGGCTGCTCCATTGAGACTGGATATCACGTTTTTGAAACAAAGAAACAACCTCTCCGCGTGCAGAGGAGGAAAGGCTGTGTACATCTAACCCTCTCCGGAGTCCGCAATGGCGGGAACCTCATGCACTGGGTTTTCCCTTTAGTGACAATAATTGACCCTCTAACTGCATTCCTCCCTTTTGGTTTTGGATGTCCTGACAGCATGTTACTCTGATTATAACAGCTTTGGTAACACATAGAGATCCAAATGGGGTGCGTCAAAAATTGTTGCTTAAGTATTATTTTTGTGCTTTAATGTATGTATGTATGTATACATATGTTGTTTGTTCCTTTTCTTCTTCTCCTTCTACTTTGGGGATGCTTTATGTATATGTATGTGTTTTTATTATATGCAGTTTCTGGAATCTAGACTTTGGTTAATTATTAAATGTTTCCTGATTTTTTCTCGTTCACTTATGTATATTAGTAGTTGCAGTGTTTTTTTTGTCATTTTCTAATTCTAACATGTATTTCTAGAAATAGAATTGAATAAATTAGCTCATGTGCTATTTACATATTACATGTCTGTATATTCAGGTCTTTGAACTACTGCGTGAGCAGCTTTGGTATAGGCCCAGCCCTGGTATGTACATCAAGTTAATTGTCATGCTTGGAAAATGTAAGCAACCTGTGAAAGCCCATTCCCTGTTTCATGATATGATTGATGAAGGCTGTGTTGTGAACCATGAATCCTACACTGCCCTTTTATCTGCCTACAGTAGGAGTGGCCTTCTTGACAAAGCATTTTCACTCCTTGAGGAGATGAAGAACACTCCTGATTGCAAGCCTGATGTCTTCACATACTCAATTCTCATAAAATCATGCCTGCAGGTTTTTGCTTTCAACAAAGTGCAGACTCTGCTTTCTGACATGGCATTACAGGGGATCAAGCCCAACACGATTACATACAATACCCTCATCGATGCTTATGGAAAAGCAAGAAGGTATTGTGACAGCTTTCCTCTTCCTTACAATGTCTAATGCTCAATCTAATTATGGAAACAAGTGATTGAACCACTATTATAGAATCTTAAATTTTCTATTGTATTTTTCAAAAAATGTGGAAAACATGAGATGTTAGATCTAACCAAATCCTATTGTGGTAGATCCCATTTCATTAAAGTTGTTGAGGAAGATGGAACAAGAATCCAGGACCATCACTTCCACCATTGCTTCCTCTGCCATTTCTACGCATGCCACCCCCTCCACCAGTTCTGTGGCTGCCCCCACTCACCTTCCCATGCAGTCACATAACTTCTGTGACCTTTAGCAACAGCATTTTTTCTTAATATTTTATTCATTTGACCTAGTGTTAGAAAATAAATTGGAATAGCTCTCTGGTCCCTTAAAGTTTATCTAACTTTCTTGTAAGTGAAAGGAAGTTGTGATTATTAATTTATTACTGACTCGTTGTTTCCATTGCCCCAAAAGGTTTACGGAGATGGAAGCAACAATTGTGGAAATGCTCCGTGAGGGGGAATGCGAGCCTGATGTCTGGACCATGAACTCAACATTGAGAGCATTTGGCAGCAGCGGGCAGATAGAAACTATGGAGAAATGTTATGAGAAGTTTCAGTGTGCTGGAATTCAACCTAACATCAAGACCTTCAACATACTCATTGACTCCTATGGGAAAACAGGGAACTATGAGAAAATGAGTGCTGTGATGGAATACATGCAGAAATACCACTTCTCATGGACAATCGTAACTTACAATATAGTAATAGATGCATTTGGAAGAGCTGGAGATCTGAAACAGGTGGAATTTTTGTTCAGGCTGATGCAGTCAGAGAGGATAAAACCAAACTGTGTTACACTTTGTTCGCTTGTAAGGGCATATGGGCAAGCTGGGAAAGTTGAAAAAATTGGAGGTGTCTTGCGGTTTATTGAGAACTCAGATGTGACACTTGATATTGTATTTTTTAACTGCCTTGTGGATGCTTATGGGATGATGGGATGTTTTGCGGAGATGAAAGGGGTGCTTGAGATGATGGAGAGGAAAGGATGTAAGCCTGATAAGGTTACATATAGAACCATGGTTAAAGCGTATTCTCTGAGTGGAATGACTAGCTGCATAAAGGAGCTCCGGGATGTACTTGCCTCGATTGAGGGGACTACATTGGAGATTGAAAACAACTTCAAATGAGAACTTTCACAGGTTGCATAACATCCCTTCAATCTAATGTATATTCTCACTATTTTTTCCCAGTAATTCTTAACTTTGTATGTGAACTATGTGAAAACTTAATGAAAAATTGAAAGAGGGAACTAGCACTGCCGTTTATTGATTTTTTATTTGACCATGTAACATATTTATATTGATGTTTTAGTCTGAAAGCTATGACCTTGTGTCTCCCTTTCTCAATTCTCATTCCATTTATATTTTCCCTAATTTTCGTAAGATTTAGATTTCTGCTACTTTTAAAGGGACTGTAGATTTTGTAAGCCTGGAGATTGATGGCTGGCAAACATTTTTTGTAAGCAAGAAATGTGACCCATCTCTCCTCGCTCGATTTTCAATATTCATGTCTTGTAAGAAAATAAGTTAGACCTGCTTCCAAACATCAAACTATCTTTAGTGGGAATTCAGAAATGAAAAATGTTGACTATGTATGAAAAGTGAAAGAATTATCTATGCAGGTATGCTTGACCATTGTGCTCAACCTCTTATTGACCTCTCCTGAACATTGGTAGTTAGATTAACAGTCATATCCTGCTATTATATATCATGTTTGAACGTTATTTGCAGGATACTTAACAACAACTTTACATTGGTGATATTGAAAGAGATGACCCCAAAGCTGTCATCACAAAGAGGCAAATTCCATTGACTACATGATCAGAAGATCAAGTTTCTATTAATGGAAATTTAGTATCAAGGTTAGTGCAATTATATTTTCTGGTTTCTGCTTAATTTTACTTAATTTGTTGAATAGAATGGAGTGTTCCTTGAAATTTACTAGGACTTTGACAATTTTCCTTCAATATAAATGCAAATTTTTTTTTGTAACAAAAAAATACTATAAATATGTCCATAGCCAGCAGGGAATAAGAAAATATAATTTTAAAGGGGCAAACTACCTGATGTGGCCCAAGTGGTAGATGGATCATGGATCAAGAGCTACTAATGATTTAAAAAAAAAAAAAAAACTGTTTGTAACTGTATAGTAATGTGTTATAATCATATTTAATGAATGATATGGGCTAGCCCACCTCATGAGGCTCCTGCCATTGTGAGGTCTGGGGAGGGTACACAGCAAGGCTATTTCCCGTTTCAAACCTGTGACCTCCAAGGCACAATGGAGCAACCTTAGCGTTGTATGGCCCGCCCTTATTTAATTAATGTTTTAATCTTGAATTTAATTAATAATGTAAGGGGGTTATTCTGATCTTTTTGTGGCAAAAAGAAGAATGTTAGGATTTGAATTACACTAACAGCTTTAATAATGTAAGAGAGAAAGCTTACACCCTAATTGGGAAAGAGAGAAAGCTTAGACCCTAATTGGGAAGGCCTAGTTGCAAACATGGCTCTTGATCTGGTGCCATTTTTTCTGTTCCCTCTCTTTTGCATGAGCTTAACCTTGTGGTACTGCTCCATTTTTCTACTTTGTTATCACCGTAGAGAAACTTAGTATCCATATCCTCACTTTTAAGTATTTTCACCCTTCATATTACATTTGCCAAAACTATATGTTGTTTTCTCTCTTGCTTTTCAGATTGCCATATCTTCCAGCTAGCCTCTTTTTATTTATTTCGTATCTCGTCTAGTCATCTTCTTTACTCTCTTGTCGTAAACATGTAATTTATAAATTGCCATATCATACCAGCAATGGTTAGAAGAATAGAGGGAACGCCTATCTTGCTGGAACTGATTGTTTGGACAAAATATATGGTCAGGAAAAGAGTGTATCGATGCTGTAGTGAAGGAATGGGTGGCCATATCCTGTTTATCGCAACATCCATATTCCATGTGTTTGCACCATAATTATCGACCACTTTCCAGTGGAAGACTGCCGCAGCCAATTCCAGTGAAGATTGATGTGCAGACGAGGATGCAATTAGAAAGCGACACGTGGCTTCATCTGAGGAAGCCATAAAAGTAACCGCGTAGAGACAAGTGGCAGGTTTCTAGGATGGCGGTTATGGTTGGATGTTGTATTTGACGAGTGGGGCACGTGGCAGCCAAGGGAGTAAGCAGTTACCTGCATATGGAAGGTCGTGAGTTTCGTGACTTTTTAGTGAGACATGTGGCACAAACTGAGCATGGTTGTTGAGAGTGCTCCTGAAAGCAAGGAAACATCGGACACGTGGCAAAATTCCAGCGGAAGAGCAGTTATTCCAGTGGCACGTGGACGATCATGTTGGAAGGTCGTGCGAAAAAGGTAGCAGAAACATCAAAACGTGGGTCAAACGTGGAGTACAAGATGAGCAAAATTTGGAAACATGGGACACGTGGAGGATTTTCAACGGAAGAGCAGTTATTCTAGGGCAAGTGGAAGGTCTTGCAGAAAATATTAGAAACATGGGAGAACGTGGTCTCAAATATGCAAAAAACAAGCTGAGAAGAACAAAGGCAACGTGGGTCACTTGGCAAAATCCGGTTGTTTCACGTGGAATGTGTCAATTGCCAATGGAACCGTCGGCAAAAACTGTCATCCAAGAACTCTATAAATAGGACACTTTGATGACTTGGCAAAATCCGGTTGTTTCACGTGGAATGTGTCAATTGCCAATGGAACCGTCGGCAAAAACTGTCATCCAAGAACTCTATAAATAGGACACTTTGATGTAACTTGCAAACCCTGTTCAACACACAACTCAACATCATTTCAGTTATCTTTCAATTCAAGTCCTGCACTTTCATTTATCCTCTACATTCCTGCAATGTATTTCCATTATGTCAATTAATACAAGTTTCATTTCAAGTCCTTCACTTCAATTCCTTACATTCCAGCACATTACATTTCATGTCCTGTATTGCAATTCCTTTTCAATTCCAGTAATAAGAAAATCTCCAAAGTCCTTTTTACCAAAGGAACCTCGAGGGTGGTCATTACAGACCCTCATTCAATCACCTGAAGAACCTTGAGGGTGGTCATTGCAGACCCTCATTCAATCGCCTGATCCTTCTAAGTTTCATATGGAATATAGTTTGGATTACTCTCACTTGGAACTTTCAGAGTTCCTGGCACGCCCGCGGTTCCACAGGAACTGAGATTTTTTGTGGCCAAACACCATGACTGAAGAAACGGAAAACAAAAAGGTCGCAGCCCCTCTGAACCAAGTTATTGCCAAACTTCTGTGCACTGTTTTATAGTATGACGCAGTTACAAGCTATGGTCTATTTTTTACATATATCTGATCCTCTAGGAGTTTTCTCCCTAGTTGTGGAGCCATTTTCCATCTTAGATGCCGCAGTCATTAGCAGAGGAAGAGTTCTGAGTGACTGCTTTGTTGTACCGACCCTGACGTAGTCTTGTAGATGCACTTGCACAAGGAGCTGATATGTTTAACTTCCTATGTTGAGTAGCAACAACTTGAGCTTCTGCCAAAGGTAAATCTGGTCAAATCCATCCCTGCAATCAAAAGTGTTCCAGCAAATTAAGTTATTAACTAGGCAGAGAAGCTGAGAAACATTTCTGGACTGGTAATAGCTCTAGAGGCAAAATAAAGCGTTCAAAAAAGAGCAGAAATCCTGCACAGCCCATGAACTAAACCATTCCCATAGATGAACGTGGCTGTGAAACTAAGAAATCTATTTGGAGTGATACATTCTTGGACAGCAACATAGAACATTCAAAAACAAAAAATAGGCGCGCCCACAAGCGGAAGGAGTATTTGAATGCGTGTTGTTTTGATGTCCATCTGAGACTGGTCCTGCAAATCAATTTGACTAGAGTCCTAAATGATTATTTAGTTCCCTCTTTTAGAAGGGACATTTTGCGCTTCTGAATATGGTTACCCTGGTCCTTGTCTGGCCACCCTTCGCACTGGAACAGGTATTTCAGAGTAAACCTGCTGAGGAGCTGGAAGCATATTTGGATTTTTTTATTTAAAAAAGAAGAAGAAGAAGATCCAGAATCCCCTCAGTGGAAGATGAGTTCCAACACATGGCCCCACGGTTTTGAGCTGAAAACTGTCTTGAATAATAACTCTACCGAGGATCTGAAAGTATTTTCAGGTTGATACAGAGAAACTTGATGACCATTAAGAATATTTCAGAGTTCATAGCACCCACCTGTTGATAGAGTTCCTACGTGCTTCTTTGAGAAAAATTCGTTCATAGGGAATGAAGCAATGAATTGCAAAGTTGAACCCGGGTATTAGAGTCTTTAGTTGCAGGAAAAATAACGTATGCCTCGTCCAATTGTCCGGCCAAAATATCAGCAACAAAATCATTCTGGATATGGCTAGCCATTGGTGGCACAGCAGAAGTATTTTGAAGTTTAGGGGCACTATAAGAAGAGATGTATTTGACCAAAGATTTCTCTTTTAAGCTGCAACATGCCTATCGACCATTTCCAAATCTTCAAGCAGCCAGTAATATAATTTTTAAATTGCCTTGAACTATCAATGTGGGTTGTTTCTTGGTAGTTATATATCAAATGTCTTCTATAGAACTACTAGTTGTATTTCTGCATTGTGTTGCAGTTTCTTTTCTCTAGAAGTTCTGGCATGTACACTGTGTGTGCTCTTATATGATAATATCTTCAGTTATTTTTCAATTGAGCTACTTATTTTACCCTGGAAGATGTTTGAGTGTTGAGTACAGAGTTCATGTGCCGGTGAATAGAAAGAGAAAATTTGATTCCAGTAAAATGATAACTAGGGGAAGGCAGACCAATGTAGCTGCATCCACGAAAAAAAGGGGGAAGAATATGCACAACCACCACCAAGCGTTTTCCCAATTATTTAGGGCCACCTACATGAATCCCATATTTCCATTCCGCTCTATTCAAGGTCATAGCCTCCGTAAATTCACATGCTATCATATCTTTTTTCACTAACTCTACCCATGTTAAGTTTTGTCTTCCTCTTTTCCCTAGTATTACCCTCAATGTGGACTATGTCACTTTTCCTAACTGGCGTTAGGGGGTTCTCTTTTAGGTGAAGGAAGTATGCAATGGGGAGATGTTTTGGCTTATATAATTTCTATTCAGGAAAAAGAAAATGTAATTTCCATTACTGATGGACAAATATTTTTATCCACCGATCTATTTAATGTCGGGGGGAATTCAAAATAAAAAGGCAAAAACTGTATTTTAAATTGAACTGTTTGGTTGCAGAGATGCTGAGGGAAAATAAAGTTGGTGTCTTTGACAAAGATTACAGGTCCCTTGGCAGCTAAACAGAGCACGAGACGAAAGAGTGAAAAGAGACATTTCAATCTCCTCAGCAATTAAAAGGAACAAGAAGAGACAAAGAAAGGCAGAAAGATCCAGAATTCTTATAGGTTTCCAATTTGAAAACCTTTCTCAAGAACCAAACAAACCATTTCATTGAAAGAGAGTAGGAACTTCATATGTTTACATGCTTTTCATGAAGTGCTAAAAGAGTTACTCCAGTCCTCAACAAGTAAAACTATACAACAAACAATGCAATGTTAGTGAAAATGTGGTATAATTGAAGGATAATAAAGACTTGAAATCGGTATTCCAATGGTATAAACTCTCCTTCTTTAAAGGGGAGGTGAGGGGTTCGAGCCTCGTAGTGGGTAATTTGTAAACGTGTGTATGAGTTCTTACCTAATTACCACTTACTGCAAATCTGTTTTCATGATACAATGCAGGAAACCTCTCCAGAGTTACTCCGAAGAGACGTTGATCTGCCACCAAGTCCCTCCTAACTCCTCCAACAACCCTTCTAACTCCACCATGATCAGCCATTTCTTGTCGTCCTAATGTTGCTCAGATACAAGAAGCTTCTCTGTTTGGCTATGTGAAACAGAAAATTATAATTTGAGAAACAAATATTAGAAGAGGCAAGGAGTAGAAATTGGGACCAAAGATGACTGCAATCAAAGTGCAAGAAGTTCAAGAAATCTACTCGCTAAGAGTTTGCGGCCTATTGGTATCTCATCTATTTCTCAAAGTGGATGGTGAGGGTTCAAGTCCCCATAAGGCAAATGAATGCTTGAGTTTCGCGAGTTTATTGCGCTCAACTGGGCAGTAACAATATATAGAAAAAACTAGGTAAGATTACCTGCAAATGAACAGAATCAACAAGAACATGTAAGAAAAATAATAATAAAATCATCTTTTTTGATAAAGGAACGTAGTGATTTGAAGAGAATGATTGGAAGATAAAAGAAATTCAATATTCAGATTTTTTTTTTTTTTGCCTGAAAGGTTAAATATCAATATACAGATTGTTGCTGAACAAAAAATCAAGGGTAAATCCCATTGGACCTCTCCTATAATTTTAAAATAATACTATCCTCTTTTATCGCATCTTTGACATAAAGGTGTTAAATAACTACTATTATACTATTGTATTGTATTATTATTTATCATTACATTATATAGGTAAAAATAAATAAATAAATAAAATTAATTTTTTAAAGGTAAAATTAGATTTTAAGTAAATTTCAAACTTGAAGAAAGGCACATTTCCTTTCTTTTCTCTTTTCCAACTACTAATGGAGAATATAACTGAACAAACTAACCAAACAGAGAAATACAGTGATTTTGGCACCCTCAGTTTTCAGAAAATTTAGGCGCATGTGTAGTGATAAGAAGAGATGACCCCACATGCTTGTCATGGACTTCTTTCCGCAATCTACGCACCTCACATGATCGTCAACAACGCTCCACACAATCATATAATACATATAATATATAATAATATATGTGGACTTCTAGACTTGCATATAAATATATAAATTCTGTATATTACCTCATTTTTTATCCTAATCAGATGCATTTATGTTCAAAGACAATAATACATATTGTAGAAATATTATAATTCAAATGATACATGTCATCATAAAAGAAAAAGATCAAAAAGTAACATCAAATTCAGAATCGATGAATTAAAATTTAGACATTACGTTATTGTCTTTAATCAACTTTAATTATATGTTTGATTCATTTTTTTCTTTTTGGGAATCATTTTTTTTTCCTTCTCGTATATCATATAATATAATTAAAAATAGTTTGAAATTTTGTTTGGATAGAAATTTTCTAAAATATGTGTGTGTGAAAATATTTTAATAAGAAAAGTATCGGATTCTAAAACTGTTCTTCTATTAACTATTATATACATCTTCAGCAATAGGCAAATATTTTTCAAGTAAATAATATATGCCCTATAATACTAATTAAGTAATTATACTCTAGAACAAAAGGAAAATGTAAATCCTAAATTAAATATCAGTAAAATTGACCATTAAGATTTCCTTTTGATCACCATTCACCATCCTGTTACCATAAAATCTTCAAAAGTTGACACTTTCAGAGTGAAATTCAAAGAATTTTATCTCATGTATGTTTGTTAAATACCCACATTTGTTGAACTTTCTACCATTCGCGTTACTACTATAAGGAAAATGATTCTTGCACCGAATAATTGCAGTGAATTGATAAACATGCTTTTTTAATTAGTCAATTATGTAACAAATAAGAAAGTGAAACCCTCTACCTAGTTTTTTTTTTTTAATTAACCCGGGGTGTCCGGATGGCACGAATCCTTAGGGCCCCTCAACAACCCGACTAATCCCCGAGGATCCGGAAGGGCACCTCCTTACCTGGGCAGAGTAAGTCACTATAGGGGTAGCGGATGATAGCCACAAAGAACACTCAGCGGGACTCGAACCCCAGACATTGGGTTTACGAAGCTCCAAAGCCCAGCAAGCAAACCACTGGGCCATATTCGAAGTGGATCCCTCCAACTAGTTGTACTTGATATAAATAACCAATTAAAAATTAT